TAGAGATTACTCACCACTTCCCGTATTTTACACGCGCGTTTGCGTCGACCCAGCTAGGCGTATATAAAAAAAATGATGTCAAGTGACTTAACTATTTTAACAGTCAAACAATAAGAAGACACTTTAAGTAATAGTTTACAGGGCTGGCTAGCACAATGAATGAGAGTTTTACTTTTGAATTATGTATTAATTAAGTCTTCGATTTTTGTCATTGGTTTAACGCAGGGGTTCTCAACATCTCTAATACAGCGACCCTTTAATATAGTTCCTCATGTTGTGGTGACACCTAACCACAAAATTATTTTCGCTGCTACTTCATAACTGTAGACAATTCAACATGTGTTTTTCGATGGTCTTAGGCGACCCCTGTGAAAAGGTCGTTCGACCCCCCCCCCCCAAAAGGGTCGCGACCCACATGTTGAGAAGCGCTGGGTTAACAGGAGCCTTCTATTTCTCAAAACAGCATCAAGCAGTGGCCTTCATGCTGGCTGACATGGCCATGGGTGTCGAAGCCGCCAGACTACTGACCCAGCGGGCTGCCTGGGAGATTGACCAGGGCAGACAGAACACTTACTACGCGTCCATTGCTAAGGCTTTAGCGGCTGACGTGGCGAACAAGTCTGCTGCAGATGCTGTTCAGGTGAGTTTCCGTACGTGTGTGGGTATTAAATGACCACCAGGTGACAAGAGGGGGGGGGCTCGTTAAAATTTAGCCCAGGTGAGCTGCATAGGTTAGCATGAGGCGGTAGGGTCTAATGGTGATGTTTAGAATGTAGTTCGGTGAGTTACGGAAGTGCGACCACCAGGCGGAAGGGCCTAGGATTGATGTTAGAAGTTAGAATGAAGCCCATGTGACATAAGTGAGTTACAGTAAATGGAAACGCCAGGTGGCAGGAGAATCGATTTGAGATAGTTCAGTTGAGTTTACAGCAAGTGCTACCAACACGTGGTAAGTGTGGCCGCCAGGTGGTAAGTGTGGCCACCAGGTTGTAAGTGTGGCCACCAGGCGGTGAGTGTGGCCACCAGATGGTGAACGTTGGTGTGTTAAAAGTTTTATCTATTAAATCAAAACCAATTGTATCCCCCCACCCTTTTCCAAAAATTAACCCAAAGCTTTTCCTCAAAAAGACAAATTATTACCCACCACCCCCCCCCCCCCCCCCCCCCCCCCCCAGCTGTATTTCTAAAAAGACGATCGGGGGGGGGGGGGGGGGGAGGATCAGTAATGTAACAGTAAATAATATTTGCATGGCCACATACTTAATAGTTTGGATTTTTCAAAAATCGTTTTTTGATGGAGAATGTAACTAGCAGCTTTTTATATAAAAAAAAAAGTATGCGAACTTCAACAGCAATCTAATGAAATTTTAGTCCATTCAGTCAAAACCCAACAGATGCACATACTATTGAACATTAATATTATTGTGATTTAACTGTGAATGTGAAATATTATCATCTGCATTGCCTTAGATATTCGGAGGTAACGGCTATAATACAGACTACCCAGTTGAAAAATTGATGAGAGACGCCAAGATTTACACGGTGAGTTTTTTTCCTTTTAAATTCAAACCAGCATCAACGTGCATTTATTTGCGGCACGGCTGATTGACGTACTTCCCGTCAGCCTATCGAGCTGAAACTTGGCACGTCACCCCAGTTCTTATAGCTATGACTTCTGGCTTCCTGTGAGTGAGCGCATTCGCCAGATAATTCTGTCCCAGGAAAATTATAAGAAGCAGTGAGAAATACTTTTTTTTTTTTTTTTAAAAAAAGCGATTTTCTGTTTCGAATGTGAAAATAGCTGGCACATCTGCTAATTGTGAACACAGTATATGCCTAGAGTCTTAAGTCTAAAGTAACAGGTGCACTGAAACTCTGAAACTGCCGCATCTTGAACGCGTGATTGTCAATGGTGCGTAGCGACAGCCACCGGTGTGCTTTATAAGACAGGAGTTCCATCGATCCTTGGATTTATATTTATACATAGGCCAACAAAAAAGAAAATGTTTCTCTATTTTTAAATTCTGAATAATTAGCTTCGTTTTCGTTCGTGTGTTTCTTGCTTTCTGAGAAGAAATCTGCGGACGGCTAATTGACCCACTTCCCGTAAAGAAAGTTGGTTTGGGCAGTTTTTTTTGTTTTTTTTCGAAATGAATCTTTCCACGGAGGAAATAAATATTCACCACTACGTGTTAACCGGGTGCAGTTTTTTTTTTTTTTTTTTTTTTTTTTTTTTTTTTTTTTTTTTTTTTTTTTTTTTTTTTTTTTTTTTTTGTGTTTTTTTTTTTTTTTTTTTTTTTTTTTTTTTTTTTTGTTTGTTTGTTTGTTTGTTTGTTTGGTTTATTTTGGTACACCGAGTCCGGGTATTTTGAAAAAATACCCGGTGGGTCAAGGTGAAAATTAATTTTTTTCAAACAAAAAGAGCTGCAGCCAGAATTCGTCGCCAAATTTTGAATTCATTTTAAAACTGTTTCTATAACTTGTGTTTATATGGTCTATATTTTCCAGCTTTCAGCAGTAAGCCAAATATATATATATATAATATATATTTCCATTAGTTTCTGTCCATTTTGTTACGTCTAAAGATCAAATAATTTTTTTAAAAATAGTTAATGTAACGTCCCAGTAACAATAAACATGGCTACAATAAAATACGTTCGTTACAGTAAATTTCGAATCCCTTTTCCCAGATCTATGAGGGCACGTCACAGATCCAACGTTTAATAATTTCCCGTGACCTCCTCACGCAAGCCCAACATGTTTCATCATAAAACTTACGACTATCTGCGATTGATGACAACTAGCGCTGACCAGTTATTAAGTCATTGAATTGTGTGCCGAGATTTAAGTTCAAAAAGTTTTCTGTCTTGTGTTAATTTATTTTTTTTTAAATTTTGGAGACAACGTTTTTTCATGTCAGTGATGCATTTATGATTTTAACTATTGTGTTTTATGATTGAACACGTCATGGGCACGATGTCTTCCAAAAGAATTCTTTTCCAAAAGAACACTATCACCATAACGTGAATCAAAGACAGACTTTTATTGGGAAAAAAGGGATCTTAATTTTTTTTTTTTATTTAGAATAAACGTCTTGGTTATTTTTTTATTATTTTTTTTTTTGCGATCGCGAATTCTGCCCGTCAGTTCTAGATTGTTTTGTGATTGTTTCTTTTTGAAATGTTTATGACCAATTCATCATTTTGGCAGAAAAATATTGTTTATTAAAACCAAGTTGAGTCAATATTTTAGATAGTCGTGTTTTCATTTTCTTTGTTGGTTGGTGTCTTAATGCAGCGTTTATAAGACATGAGTCTGTTGATCTCCAGATTTATGGTAAGGCAAAAGTCTTCTCTATTTTTAAATCCGTTATATTAACCTCGCTTTTGTTCGTGTGTTTCTTTGTTTTCGGGTGTGTGACAAAATCTTCGTACGGCCGATTGACCCACTTCCCGACAACCTATCGAGCTGAAACTTGGCACATCACCCCAGTTCTTATAGATATGGCGACTGGCTTCCTGTGAGTGAGCACATTCACCAAAAAATTTTGTCCCAGGAAAGTTATAATAAACAGTGAAAAATACTTTTCAAAAGGCGATTTTCTGTTTCGAATGTGAACATAACTGGTACATCTACTAATTGTGAACATATCTGGTATAGGAGCCAAAATGATCAATAAATTGATCGTGGGCCCTTAAGATATAGAAGATATAGAAGAAGATGTCTACTACATGTGAACACATCTGGTATATAGCGACTAATTGTGTACATATCTGGTATATAGCTACTAATTGTGAACATATCTGGTATATAGCTACTAATTTTGTACATATCTAGTATATAGCTACTTATTGTGAACAAATCTGGTATATAGCTACTAATTGTGAACATATCTGGTATATAGCTTCTAATTGTGAATATATCTGGTCCCAAAAACCTCCTTTTTTTATTAAACCGGTACTACACCCTACAAAGATCATAGCTTAGACTGCTTTAAACCCGATGCCACTTAAGAGAGAGAGAGAGAGCGGAGGCCAGTAAGATCTCCGAGTGCTCGAACAAAGACATTTCTAAAGGGACCCTATGAAATCGGACTGCTGATGATGTGCTCGCGTTTTGCGGGTGCGTTTTTTTGTTTTGGTGCTGAGAGTATTTGTGCGGCTGTTGCTATGCGCTTTGTATTTGTGACGTATTGGGGAATGGGAGATGACGTTGTTGGTTGCTGTGTTCAGTAGTAGTAATGGAGTTATAAAGAGAGAGAGAGCAGATGAAAGAAGACACGCTGTTTGTTTGTTTTTTTTCAATAAAGATCCAAATGTGAAATAAAACACCGATTTGTTGAATAATTACCCTTAATAATTATCAGTTCGTAGCTTGGACGAAAACGTTAGAACGCCGTAAAATTGCAAGAGAAACTCAAGTAAATGCAAATATTCCAATGTGTTCAAAGGAAATCAAATGAAAATCAAAAATTAAACCAGAAACTATAAATATAAATAAGAAGAATTTCATAAGACATGTAAAGATGAGGGATTCATTTTGTATAAAATAATGAACGACCGGGATGATTAAAAAAAATATTTAATTACAAATTTTAAAATAAAAAATACTTTCTCACTGATAAATTCTAACAGAAAGAAAAACCAAGCAGCTCATCAGTTTCATGAGTTAATCACAGAGAAAGATGCTAAGTTTGATCCAGAGGTAGCCAGCCGTATGTTACATGAGTTAATCACAGAGAAAGATGTTAAGTTTGATCAAGAGGCAGCCAGCCATATGTTACATGAGTTAATCACAGAGAAAGATGTTAAGTTTGATCAAGAGGCAGCCAGCCATATGTTACATGAGTTAATCACAGAGAAAGATGTTAAGTTTGATCAAGAGGCAGCCAGCCATATGTTACATGAGTTAATCACAGAGAAAGATGTTAAGTTTGATCAAGAGGCAGCCAGCCATTTGTTACATGAGTTATCACAGAGAAAGATGTTAAGTTTGATCCAGAGGCAGCCAGCCGTATGTTACATGAGTTAATCACAGAGAAAGATGTTAAGTTTGATCAAGAGGTAGCCAGCCATATGTTACATGAGTTAATCACAGAGAAAGATGTTAAGTTTGATCCAGAGGTAGCCAGCCGTATGTTACATGAGTTAATCACAGAGAGAGTGTTAAGTTTGATCACGAGGCAGCCAGCCATATGTTACATGAGTTAATCACAGAGAAAGATGTTAAGTTTGATCCAGAGGTAGCCAGCCGTATGTTACATGAGTTAATCACAGAGAAAGATATTAAGTTTGATCACGAGGCAGCCAGCCATATGTTACATGAGTTAATCACAGAGAAAGATGTTAAGTTTGATCAAGAGGTAGCCAGCCATTTGTTACATGAGTTATCACAGAGAAAGATGCTAAGTTTGATCAAGAGGTAGCCAGCCCTATGTTGAAAGGATTCATTCTTTTCAATACCTTTATATTCGACTCCAATATCAAGACACCTCCTCTAAATGGCTGTGAAACGCAGAGAACAACAAAAACAAACATTTAAAAGAAAAACTTGCAGGTTTTTATAAACAGGTGCTTGCGAAGGATCCCCAAAATAAGATGATTTGAAAAACAAAATTAACACTGTTCTTTGGGAGTGAACATCAAGTGCTCCAGAAGAAGAAAAAATAGCCGTATGGTGGTAGCTTTGATAGATTTTTACTGAGTCAACGCAGAGGATGTCCAGTCATTGTTTTAGGGCTTGAGTTAGTTCATCTTATTTAAATAATAATTTTTTTTTTAATTTTCATTTTAAAAAAAAAAATTAAAAAAAATAAAATAAAAATATGACGTCACAACAGTGACGACGGTACAGAAACCTTTACACAAAATATGACGTCATTACAACAACGACGGTACATAAAAACGAGACGAGATGAGCACCGGAAGCGCCTCTGCCCGCACCATTAAGTCCCGTCTCCTGTAAACTGCAGACCGCCGGGCAGTCCTGGACACAGCTCTGGGTCTGACCCGTGGGGCACGAGTGAAGTCGACCGAGGAGTTCCAGGCCCTGCTTGCTCCTTGCCAGAAGATACTTGACGAGTTTCCCCGCCTCTCCTGTCAGGCAAGGATGTGATCTCAAATTCTCAACGACCGCTGTGCATTCTGGTCTAGAAATAAGACATGTAAAATGCAAACGAATAAAAACATATCAAACATACATGTAAAAACACGTACATAAAGGGTAATCTCCCCTGTCTTGGATGGTTAACCCAATACTATATGTTTTTTAAATTATTAAAACCTCTTTGTTTTCGTGTTTAAGACAAAAATCACACGTTAAAATTTAGAAAATAGACGCTGCATTCATCACCCGTCCTATGACTATAAGTAACTGTAACATTTTAGAGTTATACCTGCAGAAGCCATTAAGGTTACAATTCTTCTCCAGGTCGGTCACGATTTTTATTGTGTTTGAACTGGAGAAGTTGAGAAATGCCTTCCAGTTGCACTGACCGACTGGGGCTCCTGACGCCAGCTGGCAGGAAGACAACGGCCCGACGGCATTACAGTCTCCGTCTGAGCGGGAGAATGGGGGAAACAGAGAAATTAAGACGTTGTAGACTGTTTATACTTGATAGGGTTTAATGTTTTTCAATAAAATATATGACTTGATTCATTCAGTGTGTTTGTTTACACCCACCGGCACTAAGCGGGCAGTCAGTCGACCAAGGCAAACAAGAACAAGTTATTATAAGTTTTTATTACGATAACTTTAAAAAAAAGTTTTGTTTTTTTTTTAAATTAAATTTATATAGTGCTTCTCAAAGTGTACGCCGCGAAATAGACATAATTTTCATTTCTGTTTCATTTTAAATTCAATCTGTTACGGAAGCGACATCTAGTGGACCTGGTGCAAACCAGTAACTCACAAAGTAATAACTATGTTCAGAAGCCTCTACAAACGGCTACTGCATTGGGAAAACATAGATTCAGCCGATGTAGCCGATAAGCGAAAAAGTCTCGGCAAATTTAGAGTCAAACTATTATGGGGCAGTTTGAAACTCACAAAAAAAAAAAAAAAAAAAAAAAAAAAAAAAAAAAAATAGAAATACTTAAATTATTGAGATGAAAATTTTTTGATATTTTTAGTTGTTTCCTATGCTAGAAATAAAATTCAATAAATAAAAGGAAGGACCGTTGATCATGTGTTCTTAAAATATTCCCGCCTATATTTTTTTTTCTTCAGAAAAGATCACCATGATTAGTCAGTTCAAAACAAAAAATGCTCATTCCTTCCTAATTTTTCTTCTATATTTGTTGTCTTAATACCAAATCTGCTGTACACGTAGTGAAGTATCTCATCAAGGGATGCGACTCTGATTTAATTAATCAACCAATCTAATAGAGGTAACATGTTTTGTTTTTAAATAGCTACTTCCTGACGTCAATATAACACTGAAAGAATGCCAACTCTCAACATTTTCGGTAGAAGTTTAGGTGCCATGCGCAGGACACACTGTGCTGCTATAGTTCCGGATTCTTTTGAAACAGGAAGTGGGTTCCGGATATAGAGATAATGGGTAAGTTTCGAGCTGGCATTTCATTCATCATCATCATCATCATCATCATCATCGTGTCCCTTAGTCCTTGGACCGTTGTGGCGCCACAGATAACATGTGAACTATCGTCCTCCATTCGTCTCTGTCTTCTGCACTACGCACAGCATCGCCCAGTGTTAGTCCTGCCCACTCTTTGATGTTATCCTCCCATCTTTTCTTTGTCTTCCTCTTCTTCTCCCTCCTCTCGTGGTGCTCTGCAATATTTCTTTGGCAAGCATTTAAAAAAAATCAGAGCTCTCCAACTTCCAAAAATAGAAAAACGTAACCAATTATTATTTTTTTTAAATATACAAGCGAAAATTCTGACGTGTTCGGTCGTCATATTTGTTCATGGTCTCTCCTCATGGGACACAAGACAATAACTTAATTGGAACTTATGCGTCTTTCAGGTAAATTGTATCTCCTAATAAGACCAAACAAGAATTACTTACTTGGAACTACTGTGTCCTTTGGCTACATTGTATCTCCTAATAGGACCAAATGCGAATTAATGGGAACTACTGTGTCCTTAGGGTACATGGTCTCTCCTAATAGGAGCAAACAACAATTACTTACTTGGAACTACTGTGTCCTTTGGGTACATGGTCTCTCCTAATAGGAGCAAACAACAATTACTTACTTGGAACTACTGTGTCCTTTGGGTACATGGTCTCTCCTAATAGGAGCAAACAACAATTACTTACTTGGAACTACTGTGTCCTTTGGGTACATGGTCTCTCCTAATAGGAGCAAACAACAATTACTTACTTGGAACTACTGTGTCCTTTGGGTACATGGTCTCTCCTAATAGGAGCAAACAACAATTACTTACTTGGAACTACTGTGTCCTTTGGGTACATGGTCTCTCCTAATAGGAGCAAACAACAATTACTTACTTGGAACTACTGTGTCCTTTGGGTACATGGTCTCTCCTAATAGGAGCAAACAACAATTACTTACTTGGAACTACTGTGTCCTTTGGGTACATGGTCTCTCCTAATAGGAGCAAACAACAATTACTTACTTGGAACTACTGTGTCCTTTGGGTACATGGTCTCTCCTAATAGGAGCAAACAACAATTACTTACTTGGAACTACTGTGTCCTTTGGGTACATGGTCTCTCCTAATAGGAGCAAACAACAATTACTTACTTGGAACTACTGTGTCCTTTGGGTACATGGTCTCTCCTAATAGGAGCAAACAACAATTACTTACTTGGAACTACTGTGTCCTTTGGGTACATGGTCTCTCCTAATAGGAGCAAACATCAATTACTTACTTGGAACTACTGCGTCCTTTGGGTACATGGTCTCTCCTAATAGGAGCAAACAACAATTACTTACTTGGAACTACTGTGTCCTTTGGGTACATGGTCTCTCCTAATAGGAGCAAACAACAATTACTTACTTGGAACTACTGCGTCCTTTGGGTACATGGTCTCTCCTAATAGGAGCAAACAACAATTACTTACTTGGAACTACTGTGTCCTTTGGGTACATGGTCTCTCCTAATAGGAGCAAACAACAATTACTTACTTGGAACTACTGTGTCCTTTGGGTACATGGTCTCTCCTAATAGGAGTAAACAACAATAACTTACTTGGAACTACTGCGTCCTTTGGGTACATGGAGATAAAACCAAAGCACATCTCATCTGAGGTCGCCTCCCCAAAATAAACCCACCGCCTGGAGGTCAGTGTGTTGTACACGCACGTGGTCACAATCTCGTCACCTGGTAGTAACTGGACGGGGGGATCATGGCTGGAGTGAAGTTGAGTGAAAGTTACTAGGTCAGTTCGGACAAAATGAGGATTGGTTGTAAAATTATTTCATTGTTTCGACGGAAAATTTTAAAGACAAAAAGATAGGCTCTTCCGAAATATAGTTCATTCCAACAATACGTCATTCAAACAATAGGTCATTCCAACAATAGGTCATTCAAACGATAGGTCATTCCAATAATAGGTCATTCCAACAATAGATCATTCCAACAATAGGTCATTCCAACAATAGGTCATTCCAACAATACGTCATTCAAACAATACGTCATTCAAACAATATGTCATTCAAACAATACGTCATTCAAACAATACGTCATTCCAACAATATGTCATTCAAACAATACGTCACTCCACCAAAAGGCTCATTCTACGAATATGTTATCCCACCAAGAGGCTCATTCCAAAAATAGGTCATTCCACGATAGGCTAATTATTCCAAAGGATCATTCCACCAATAAGTATTTCCACCAATAGGTCATTCCACCAATAAGCCCCAGTCCACCAAACAGGTCACTCCAGCAAAAGGCCATTCCACTAATACTTGCCAATAGACTATTCCACCAGCATTTCATTCTACCAAACACCAACTTTGATAAATCTCATGTTACACATAGTCTTTAGTCTATTGAAAGTAGTCTGGCAGACGTACTATTTAGTGTCCTACATTGACAGTCGTCTGGCATACGTACTATTTAGTGTCCCACATTAACAGTGATCTGGCATACTTACTAAATACTGCCCCACAAGCGCATAATTACTATTTAGTGTCCTACATTGACATTCGTCTGGCAGACTTACTATTTAGTGTCCACATTGACAGTCGTCTGGCTCACTTACTATTTAGTGTCCCACATTGACAGTCGTCTGGCATCATAACTATTTAGCGTCCCCATAGACAGTCGTATGGCATCATAACTATTTAGTGTCCCACACTGACAGTCGTCTGGCATACTTACTATTTAGTGTCCCACATAGACATTCGTCTGGCATACTTACTATTTAATGCCCCCCCCCCACTGACAGGCGTCTGACCTACTTACTAATGGGTCACGGGTGAATCATAGCTGTAGAAATCGTCATTACTTAAGTACGTCACCCGGGAGCCATTTCTGAACAACTCCAGCTTCATTGAGGTTCCTGTTTGAGGAGAACCATAATGAATAGTTGGTGAACTGCATTCTTTAGCAGAGGAACTTGTTCCCTTTCTCTCTTCCTTTTCATACGTCCTTTCCCACATCTCTCATGCACCAATGTCTCATTCTCTTCATTGCTCTACCTCTTCATCCGTTTCTTCTGCTCCCGTTCTCACTCACTCAAAAAATGACATAACCAGCTGAAGCTGCAGTTAAAAGCCATCAGAATATTATCTAGATCTTGCATTTGGTTCAAGACAGCCAACAGAATATTACCTACATAATGCATGTGGTTCAAGCCAGCTATCAGAATATTACCAAGATAATGCATGTTGTTCAAGACGGCCGCCAGAATATTACCAAGATAATGCACATGGTTCAAGACGGCCACCAGTTCAAGACGGCCACCAGAATATTACCTAGAAAATTCACGTGGTTCATTCCAGCGACCAGAAAATTACCTAGATAATGCATGTGGTTCAAGACAGCCACCACGTACGCAGGCTTAGTTAAGACGTTTCTTGTACACGAGCCCTCGCACACACCGACTTGCTCGAGACGAGACTTTCCTGAAGGAAAAAAAAAAATAAAATAAATTCACACTATCAATAAGGTAAACTAGTTATTTCGTGCGGACACGGAAAGTTCTCTTTAAGACAGAATGTGTTTAACTGTCACAGGTTGAATCAATATTCTACTGAAAGAAAAGACTTCATTCAATCCACATTACAAATCGGAGCCGAATCAGTTGATCCGTTCGTTGTTAACGTGCGTCTATTAGGAAGGCCTAATACGTGTTTAAAAAAACAAACAACACCTCACTTTAAAGCGGTAACTGAGGCCCGTAACATCTGATCGCGTTACTGCGGGGCTTACGCTACACCGTGCGATTAGCTACACCGTGCGAATAGCTGCACCGTGCGATTAGCTACACCGTGCGAATAGCTACACCGTGCGAATAGCTGCACCGTGCGATTAGCTACACCGTGCGAATAGCTACACCGTGCGAATAGCTACACCGTGCGATTAGCTTTGGGGTTAAAATAAAATTAGGAAGAACCTTGATTTCGTACGGTTGTTGGTTTTTTTTTTAAATGTTTTTTTTCTTAAAATTTCTTGTGGTTATTGAGGGCAGGCGGTGTTAAGGTCTTACAACGTTTTAGTTGCTATGGGATTGCGTTGTACGAGAGGTCATATTTGTACACCCTTTTTTTTTTGTTTGCTCATGTACTTAGTGAAAAAAAAATTATGTTCGAGTGAATATGAGAAATGTTGGGTTCCATGACATCACAGCATAATAATACCCCGAGTCACGTTATAGCGGGTGTGTACAGTACCGGGAAAACTTGTATTTTTTCATATGCTACTCTTATTTTTTAACTACTCCTATTCTTATGTTAAGTTTTGAAAGGACGAAGTGTTAAAAATTAAGTGATAAAAAAAAAACAAAAAACAAAAAAACACCCGACCTGGCTGCAGCTCCAGCAGGGTCTGACCCGTGACGAATGTCGTTAGATCCTGGACGCCTGCCCTGGCCGGCCTGTAGTAGAGGTGTAGGCCGCTGGCGTCTGTGTAGTCGGCCACTTCATTAGGGTTGTTGTAGTGGATCTTGATGGAATAGAAACACTTGCATTTGTTAGAATTCAACTGAAGTATGACTATGTTAAAAGATATCAGGTGGGTTTTTTTAAACAACTAGAAATATGATTTTCGGACAGTCGAATTTCTGAGTAGAAACGCCGTGCAACCAAATATTTTAATCATGAAATATTTAGCCATTGAAATATCAAGATTTCTTTTATCTGAAATAATCAGATTTGGATTTCATTTCTTATGAAGGAACAATGATAGTGAGGATATTTGTCCTTTATCCAGGTTATCATTATATATTTTCAAACTCATTATTATGTTTACATTTCACCAGTAACAGTAACAGTAAAAAAATCATCATTTTTTTCATTCATCCCTTATTGGAGTTATTTGAAATTTTCACCCCCGGCTCACAACCTCGAACCTCCTATAACATCTCGCCTTACCCTGGTCCCATAACATCTAGCCTTCCTAGACCCATAACATCTAGCCTTACCCTATAAACCTATAAAATCTAGCCTTAACCTAGTCCCATAACATCTCGCCTTACCCTAGTCCCATAACATCTCGCCTTGCCTTAGTCCCATAACATCTAGCCTTACCCTAGTCCCATAACATCTAGCCTTGCCCTAGTCCCATAACCTCTAGCCTTGCCCAAGTCCCATAACATCTCGCCTTGCCCTAGTCCCATAACATCTCGCCTTACCCTAGTCCCATAATATCTAGCCTAACTCTAGTACCGCAATATAACCCATAGTCCCATCACCTCAAGCATGGCCGCTAATCCCATCACCCCCTTCCCCTAATCTCAACTCCAGCCCTGGTCCAGTCACCTCAAGTCGGACCCCCTAGTCCCATCGCCTAATACCTGACCTTAGTCCAACCACCTGCTCTCACCTCCAGCCTGACCCTCCTATAACCGGTTTGACCAATCCTGAAACCCATCTTGTCCCCGAAGCACTCTCCAGGTTTCCCCACGGTCCAGCCACTGATGATGGTGGCACAGTTGCTTGAACTCATGCTGCACACTTCTGGTTTCGTGATTTGACTGCTGTTGGCTGTGGTATGAGATGAGATAATGAAGTGCAGTCATGGCAAAGTCAGGTATTGGGCTGATCGAATTTGACGAGCGATGCATTCGTTTGAAGTTGACTCCCACTTATTAAACAAACCATAAAAACAAGGATTTTCGTTTACATCTTTTATAAAAATGTAATATCGAGCCATGAGGGGGGGGGGGCTTAACATTGGACAAAACATGCATACTCATAACGCACTTTATACGAATCTCACGTAGTGCCCCCCCCCCCAACCCCAAGGCCCCAACCCCCCCTTTTTTCAAAATTTGACGAGCGATGCATTCGTTTGAAGTTGACTCCCACTTATTAAACAAACCATAAAAACAAGGATTTTCGTTTACATCTTTTATAAAAATGTAATATCGAGCCATGAGGGGGGGGGGCTTAACATTGGACAAAACATGCATACTCATAACGCACTTTATACGAATCTCACGTAGTGCCCCCCCCCCCAATCCCAAGGCTCACAACCGCACTTTTTTCAATGCTCCTGACTATAATAATATTCTAATGACCCCCTCGCTTTTACACCGAAGATTTAATTCACCAAAAATTTAATAAAAAATAAATAAAATATTACGCATTTGCGATATTTATTATTATTTTATTTTTTTTTTAAAAGAAAAGAATCTCATTGAGCCGACTTGTCAGGAATTTATAATATCTTTCCTTTGCACAAAACCGGAAAAACTGAATTTTTGGGGTTGGGTCTGAAAATTTGAAAGAATATGTTGTCACCGACAACGAGTCTATACGCCAAGTTTCAGCTCGATGGGTTGACGGGGGGTCAGTCATCCACATCAAAAAAACGAAGTTAATATAAAGGATTTTTAAAAAAAGAAAAGAAATTCTAGTCAGACCAAACAACCACCCAGATTGTGTCCACACGGTTGCATGAAGAATATGTTCTGACGAGAGCATTACGTACTATCTTCACATCCGTAGAGTAGCATGTGATGTATGACATGCGAGTTATCTATGATGGCTTCGTAGGCAACAATGTGGTAGTCCTGGTCGCTAGGGAGGTCGAAGGTCATGCACATGTAGTTGGTCTCCGTTGAAGGAAGGCTGTGCCGAGGGAACGTTATGTTGATACCTTTGACATCTGAGGAAGAGAACAGGTTTTTTTTTTAAATAACATATACATAACATCAAATAGTTTTGTGAACATTTCTTAATTCAACTTGTTCAAAGATCAGGATATTTTTGTTTAAAGTTAGATTTATTTTAAAACAACTAGCTTATATTACTTGCACTTTAAGAAGAAGGAATGTCGAATGACAGAGAAATGAAGAGGGGACATCGCTCAAACCCCCAGAGGGAAAATGGCTCAAAGGCTGACGTAGGATAAGATAGATGGGTTTTGTGGAAAAAAAAGATCTACAACAGCTGGGAATCAAAGCATTGAAAAGAAGAGCATCAGTTGGGTCTGAGTGGAAGGAAGTGGTGAGGAAGGCCAAAGCCCTACATGGGCTGTAGCGCCACATGGATGAGATGGATGGTCTGAGTGGAAGGAAGTGGTGAGGCAGGCGAAAGCCCTACATGGTCTGTCGCGCCACAGGGATGCGATGGATGGTCTGAGAGGAATGAAGTGGCCCAAGACCTACATGTATAATTGATATTCCTGACATGGGAAAAACGGGCATCCATAAATAACGTCGCGCTGAATTTTGTAACTAGGGGCGTAGTAAAATGGGGGGGGGACATTTTTCCGTTTTTGGGGGCGTTATTTTTGACACTCTGTAGAGTTTTTTCGTGGTATTCTGGGCGGCCTTAACCTTAACTACGGCAATAACCCTAACTACGGCACTAACCCTAAATACGGCACTAACCCTAACTACGGCACTAACCCTAACTACGGCACTAGCCCTAACTACGGCACTAGCCCTAACTATGGCACTAACCCTAACTATGGCACTAACCCTAACTACGGCACTAGCCCTAACTACGGCACTAGCCCTAACTATGGCACTAACCCTAACTATGGCACTAACCCTAACTATGGCACTAACCCTAACTACGGCACTAACCCTAACTACGGCACTAACCCTAACTACGGCACTAGCCCTAACTACGGCACTAACCCTAACTATGGCACTAACCCTAACTACGGCACTAACCCTAACTATGGCACTCACCTTATCTACGACACAATTTTTCACAAAATATAGGAACCCTCGTAACCATTGTAAAAATTGTTGGGACCTTCTTCCCCCAACCCTATTTATAAAAACAACATGCGCGACGTCATTTATGGATGACAACCTCAAATAGCGCAGAGCTGTTAATGAGAAGATCCTCAAATAGCGCAGAGCTGTTAATGAGAAGATCCTCGCAGAGATATTACTAAGGAGTTCATTTTAAAAGAAAATAAACGAATAAACACACACACACACACACGCACGCACATATTTAATTTTGCGGGATGCAATAATGTAAACAGCTGTCAAATAGTTTTTAAAGTATTTTTGAAAATGCTACATGATGTGAGAGACGTCTGTTTTGGTTTGTCTATTTCATATTTGGTCCTTTACTACATCTCTGAGCTAAAACTTCTGTCGGTTCCGCTAATCTTCGTGAGAGACCGCGCAGGCTGGAACCTAACAGGAAGTTTTCTCTGATAGTGCGGGAGTGATTGAGATTGGTCATTGGTCAATGTTACCTGGTGATTTGATGACGTCACAGTTGTCGAAAGCATCCGCTTGACAAGACACGAAGCTGGTTTTGCCCACACAACTGGTGCTGTTGAGTGGTTCGCACACACCTAACGTATGAAATATAAACATCCGGTGTGATTATACAGATAGGTAAAAAAAAATGTACGACTGTGTTATGAACGAACCCACTGGTCACATACATTAGGGAACATACATTTTCTTTGCATAGACACACTACATTTTAAATAATCCACTTGAGGACATTCGCCCTCTTCAACAATCGTCTGCTTTTGCGTCTGTCAATCTTCGTTTTCTTTTTGACCAGGGTTTCTTTAACCTATATTTGGGGGGGGGGGCAAGTGCCCCCCCCCCCCGGGCAAAAATATGTCAAACAATAAATCAACTGGAACCGCTGGCACCGCCCCCCCCCCNCGTGGGTCCTACGAACCTTCAGGGGACTACCAGAGTACGCACTGTGCGTGGGTCCTACGAACCTTCAGGGGACTACCAGAGTACGCACTGTGCGTGGGTCCTACGAACCTTCAGGGGACTACCAGAGTACGCACTGTGCGTGGGTCCTACGAACCTTCAGGGGACTACCAGAGTACGCACTGTGCGTGGGTCCTACGAACCTTCAGGGGACTACCAGAGTACGCACTGTGCGTGGGTCCTACGAACCTTCAGGGGACTACCAGAGTACGCACTGTGCGTGGGTCCTACGAACCTTCAGGGGACTACCAGAGTACGCACTGTGCGTGGGTCCTACGAACCTTCAGGGGACTACCAGAGTACGCACTGTGCGTGGGTCCTACGAACCTTCAGGGGACTACCAGAGTACGCACTGTGCGTGGGTCCTACGAACCTTCAGGGGACTACCAGAGTACGCACTGTGCGTGGGTCCTACGAACCTTCAGGGGACTACGAAAGTTTTAAAAATGAAATTTTAAAATTGGAATATAACCCAATATAACAAAAACAAAATTGAACTTACAATATTTATGTGTTTTTTTCATGTATTTGTATTTCAGAAAATCTTACAGATTTGTAATGTTTATAATGATCTTTATAAATAAAATGATATATTAATGGTATTAACTTTTCGGCTTTTTGCATTTGCAAAGGTCACGTTTTGGATTTCCCGCTGAGGTCTTCAAATATAGATCATAAAACTAATTTAAACCTATTGATCAGAAATTTGAGGACAGTCTTTGAGGGGAATTAAAAATGAAAAAAAAACAACTAATTTAGAAACATTTTACAACTTTTTTATTTAAATAGATTTAAGAAAACCAGAGCGCAGTGAATTATCTTAAATGGCATGGATACCGGCGCAACATAAATATCCAATCAATCAGTCACTCAAGAAAATCATGGAAAGTGGATCTCAATTATTTTGCAACTGGGATGTGGTTGCCACATTTTATGTAGCCACTGGGATGTGGTTGCCACATTTTATGTAGCCACTGGGGTGTGGTTGCCACATTTTATGTAGCCACTGGGATGTGGTTGCCACATTTTATGTAGCCACTGGGATGAGGTTGCCACATTTTATGTAGCCACTGGGATGTGGTTGCCACATTTTATGTAGCCACTGGGGTGTGGTTGACACATTTTATGTAGCCACTGGGGTGTGGTTGCCACATTTTATGTAGCCACTGGAATGTGGTTTCCACATTTTATGTAGCCACTGGAATGTGGTTGTCACATTTTATGTAGCCACTTGGGTGTGGTTGCCACATTTTATGTAGCCACTGGGGTGTGGTTGCCACATTTTCTGTAGCCACTGGGGTGTGGTTGCCACATGTTATGTAGCCACTGGGATGTGGTTGCCACATTTTATGTAGCCACTTGGGTGTGGTTGCCACATTTTATGTAGCCACTTGGGTGTGGTTGCCACATTTTATGTAGCCACTGGGATGTGGTTGCCACTTCTTATGTAGCCACTTGGGTGTGGTTGCCACATTTTATGTAGCCACTGGGATGTGGTTGCCACATTTTATGTAGCCACTGCGATGTGGTTGCAACATTTTATGTAGCCACTGGGATGTGGTTGCCACATTTTATGTAGCCACGGGGATGTGGTTTCCACATTTTATGTAGCCACTGGGATGTGGTTTCCACATTTTATGTAGCCACTGGGATGTGGTTGCCACATTTTATGTAGCCACTGGGATGTAGTTGCCACATTTTATGTAGCCACTGGGATGTCGTTGCCACATTTTATGTAGCCACTGGGATGTGGTTGCCACATTTTATGTAGCCACTGGGATGTGGTTGCCACATTTTATGTAGCCACTGGGATGTGGTTGCCACATTTTATGTAGCCACTTGGGTGTGGTTGCCACATTTTATGTAGCCACTTGGGTGTGGTTGCCACATTTTATGTAGCAACTGGGATGTGGTTGCCACATCTTATGTAGCCACTGGGATGTGGTTGCCACATTTTATGTAGCCACTGGGCTGTGGTGGCCACATTTTATGTAGCCACTGGGATGTGGTTGCCACATTTTATGTAGCCACTGGGATGTGGTTGCCACATTTTATGTAAGCCCCTGGGATGTGGTTTCCACATTTTATGTAGCCACTGCGATGTAGTTGCCAGATTTTATGTAGCCACTGGGATGTTTTTCCACATTTTATGTAGCCACTGGGATGTGGTTGCCACATTTTATGTAGCCACTGGGATTTGGTTTCCAAATTTTATGTAGCCACTGGGATGTAGTTGCCACATTTTATGTAGCCACTGGGATGTGGTTTCCACATTTTATGTATACACTGGGATGTGGTTGCCACATTTTATTAAGCCACTGGGATGTAGTTGCCATATTTTATGTAGCCACTGGGATGTCGTTGCCACATTTTATGTAGCCACTGGGATGTGGTTTCCACATTTTATGTAGCCACTGGGATATAGTTGCCACATTTTATGTAGCCACTGGGATGTGGTTTCCTTATTTTATGTAGCCACTGGGATGTGGTTGCCACATTTTATGTAAGCTCCTGGGATGTGGTTGCCACATTTTTTGTAGCCATTGGGATGTGGTTTCCACATTTTATGTAGCAACTGGGATATTTTATGTAGCCACTGGGATGTGGTTGCCACATTTTATGTAGCCACTGGGATGTGGTTGCCACATTTTATGTAGCCACTGGGATGTGGTTGCCACATTTTATGTAGCCACTGGGATGTGGTTGCCACTTTTTATGTAGCCACTGGGATGTGGTTGCCATATTTTATGTAGCCACTGGGGTGTGGTTGCCACATTTTATGTAGCCACTGGGATGTCGTTGCCACATTTTATGTAGCCACTGGGATGTGGTTTCCACATTTTATGTAGCCACTGGGATGTAGTTACCACATTTTATGTAGCCACTGGGATGTGGTTGCCACATTTTATGTAGCCACTGGGATGTGGTTTCCACATTTTATGTAGCCACTGGGATGTGGTTGCCACATTTTATGTAGCCACTGGGATGTAGTTGCCACATTTTATGTAGCCACTGGGATGTCGTTGCCACATTTTATGTAGCCACTGGGATGTGGTTTCCACATTTTATGTAGCCACTGGGATGTAGTTGCCACATTTTATGTAGCCACTGGGATGTGGTTTCCACATTTTATGTAGCCACTGGGATGTGGTTGCCACATTTTATGTAGCCACTGGGATGTGGTTGCCACATTTTATGTAGCCACTGGAATGTGGTTGCCACATTTTATGTAGCCACTGGGATGTGGTTGCCACATTTTATGTAGCCACTGGGATGTGGTTGCCACATTTTATGTAGCCACTGGGATGTGGTTGCCACATTTTATGTAGCCACTGGGATGTGGTTGCCACATTTTATGTAGCCACTGGGGTGTGGTTGCCACATTTTATGTAGCCACTGGGATGTGGTTGCCACATTTTATGTAGCCACTGGGATGTGGTTGCCACATTTTATGTAGCCACTGGGATGTGGTTGCCACATTTTATGTAAGCCCCGGGTTGTTGGTACTACATATTTTATAGGCTCGGTTATGTTTTTTAAAAATCCTAATTATTTATAAAAAGTAAAAGGCATTAACAACTAAAGTACTTTAAGCAATGTAAACATATGAACAATTGAATAACGTCGACATTAAATTGAAAGAACTTATACAAAGGTATTTTGTATGCAAAAGGGCCTAGAGCCTACGACGATCCTAAAACGGCCCTGGCTATAGCTACCTGGGAATGGGACTGGGATATGGACCTTGGCGGGAAATGAAGGAAAATTTCCCACGGTGAGAGATGCAGGACTGTGGCCTACGGTAAGAAACGCAGGACTGTTGCCCACGTGAAACGCAGGAGGATGGCGAACGGTAAGAAACGTGGCCAGCGGTAAGAGACGCTGGCCCCCTATCTCATCAATGTCAATGGAGATGCTTAGAGCCTTAACGAATAAGAATTATGGTAAGATGACCTGGGCCTTCTACCTGGGTGCGTGATGCCTGTCGTTCGTGTAGGGACTTGACCTTTAGCCCACACACAATTGGGGTCTCCAAGCTCGTCACCATTGGTCTTACCGTCGCCGTCAGAATCTTGTTGACACAGAGACTTGGTCCACTGAGGAAAACCCAGACACGATAGCTTAGCATTTAGTTAATATCGTAAGGCAGAGATCTGATCATATTGTAAATGTCTTCCCTACTGTCTCAGGCAGAGACCTGATAATGTTTTAAATGTCTTCCCTACTGTCTCAGGCAGAGATCTGATCATATTTTAAATGTCTTTCGTACTGTCTCAGGCAGAGACCTGATGATGTTTTAAATGTCTTCCCCACTGTCTCAGGCAGAGATCTGATCATGTTTTAAATGTCATCCCTACTGTCTCAGGCAAAGACCTGATAATGTTTTAAATGTCTTCCCTACTGTCTCAGGCAGAGACCTGATAATGTTTTAAATGTCTTCCCTACTGTCTCAGACAGAGACCTGATGATGTTTTAAATGTCTTCCCCACTGTCTCAGGCAGAGATCTGATCATGTTTTAAATGTCTCCCTTACTGTCTCAGGTGCATACTGGGAGCTTTATTTGACAATCTTGAAAATATCACCCTGAGGGAATAGCTGCCTGCACCACAGGGTGTGTGTGTGGGGGAGTGGGGCTATCATAAGAAAGTTCAAGTCAACACCTAGTGCACATTGCAAAATAACATGGCTAGTAAATTAAAGGATACACCGCTAGCAAACAACGCCTGGTCAATGTCTGATTCAAAATGCGTTACGATCCGATGAATCAAAACAACAACAACGTATTGTCTCATTTTAAGAGTCTGTTTTGTCTAGATAGTTAGAACTCAATAATTTTAGGGTATCGGGACTTTCGAGTATAAGGCAGGGACGAATTTTACGGGACATGTAGGATATGTTAAGAGAGAGAGGATACATTTTTTAATTTGCATGGTAAGATTCATCATCAGAAATAACAGCGCAGTCAACATTATTGTTTAAACGTTATATATTGATATTGATATATTTATATTTATACATAGGATGTATCCGTGGTAAGCAGAAGTTATGATAGCATTGTTATACATAGGATGTATCCGTGGAAAGCAGAAGTTATGATAGCATTGAGAAATTATAAGACCGAGTCGGGTGCAGTTTGTTGCATCCGGTCCAGATACTTTGTTGTCAGTCTGAATACGTACGAAAATATCACTAGTGATTTGTGCACATTCTCGTAAAGCTTAGTCATGTCGTCGCTATCAATTGTATTAATTTCTAATCCATTTTTTTGTCAAGTTTTCCACTCTTTAATTAACATATTATATATGGCACTAACCCTAACTATGGCACTAACCCTAACTATATGTGTGTGTGTGTGTGTGTTTGTTTTATGTAATGTAACTCTTGATCTGTTTTAAATTTTTAAAATCATAAAACACTAACAAACGTTTAAATTAAGATAAAAATATTGAAGAGTCCCACTAAATCAAATTAAATAAACTAGGTCAAACTAAGTCAAATTAACTAAACTTAGTCACACTAAGTCACATTAACTAAACTAGGTCACACTAAGTCACATTAACTAAACTAGGTCACACTAAGTCACATTAACTAAGCTACGTCACATTAAGTCACATTAACTAAATTTAATAACACTAAGTCAAATTGACTAAACTAAGACGCACTAAGTCACATTAAGTCACACTAAGTCACATTAACTAAGCTAATTCACACTAAGTCACATTGACTAAACTAAGACACACTAAATGACATCAACTAAACTAAGTCACACTTAGTAACACTTTTGTGCTCTTTCTTTCACAATAATGACACCAAATTAAAAGGTTCTAAAGATCGTATAAATCACAAGATCATTTGTTTAACATAAAGATGGTATAAATCACAAGATCATTTGTTTACCATAAAGATGGTATAAATCACAAGATCAAATGTTTAACCTACAGATGGCATAAATCACAGGATCATATGTTTATCAAGAAGATGGCATAAATCACAAGATCATATGTTTATCAAGAAGATGGCATAAATCACAAGGTCATATGTTTAAAATAAAGATGGCATAAATCACAAGATCAAATGTTTAACCTACAGATGGCATAAATCACAAGATCAAATGTTTAACCTACAGATGGCATAAATCACAAGATCATATGTTTATCAAGAAGATGGCATAAATCACAAGATCATATGTTTAAAATAAAGATGGCATAAATCACAATATCAAATGTTTAACATGGAGATGGCATAAATCACAAGATCAAATGTTTAACCTACAGATGGCATAAATCACAGGATCATATGTTTAACATATAGATGGCATAAATCACAATATCATATGTTTGACATAAAGATGGCATAAATCACAAGATCAAATGTTTAACCTACAGATGGCATAAATCTCGAGATCATATGTTCAACATGAAGATGGTATACATCTCAAGATCATTTGTTTAACGCTTGTGTTAGAGGATGACCAAACATTAAGTATATATTTATTGGCATGGGGCCCTTAAAATCTTGAGTCCGTAGCATATGCTACTTTTACAGGTTCGTCAATCCGACTGTGTGTGTAGGTCATGCTACCATTTGGACTAAGGGAAAACATTAAACAACCCCTAATTAAACAACCCATAATTAATCAACTCCTAATTTATCAACCCCTAATTAAACAACCCCTTATCATACAACCCCTTTTTAAACAACCCCCAATTAAACAACCCCTTATCATACAACCCTTTTTAAACAACCCCTAATTAAACAACCCCTTATCATACAACCCCTATTTAAACAACCCCTAATTAAACAACCCCTTATCATACAACCCCTTTTTAAACAACCCCTAATTAAACAACCCCTAATTTAACAACCTATTATTAAACAACCCCTATTTAAACAACCCCTAATTAAACAACCCCTTATTATACAACCCCTAATTAAACAACCCTTAATTAAACAACCCCTAATTAAACAACCCCTAATTAAACAACCCCTAATTAAACAACCCCTTATTAAACAACCCCTAATTAAACAACCCCTAATTAAACAACCCCTAATTAAACAACCCCAAATTAAACAACCCCTAATTAAACAACCCCTAATTAAACAACCCCTAATTAAACAACTCCTTATTAAACAACCCCTTATTAAACAACCCCCAATTAAACAACCCCCAATTAAACAACCCCTATTTAAACAACCCCTAATTAAACAACCCCTAATTAAACAACCCCCAATTAAACAACCCCTAATTAAACAACCCCTAATTAAACAACCCCTTATCATACAACCCCTATTTAAACAACCCCTAATTAAACAACCCCTTATCATACAACCCCTAATTAAACAACCACTTATTAAACAACCCCTAATTAAACAACCCCTAATTAAACAACCCCTAATTAAACAACCCCTAATTAAACAACCCCTAATTAAACAACCCCTAATTAAACAACCCCTAATTAAACAACCCCTAATTAAACAACCCCTAATTAAACAACCCCTAATTAAACAACCCCTAATTAAACAACCCCTAATTAAACAACCCCTAATTAAACAACCCCTAATTAAACAACCCCTAATTAAACAACTCCTAATTAAACAACCCCTAATTAAACAACCCCTAATTAAACAACCCCTAATTAAACAACCCCTAATTAAACAACCCCTAATTAAACAACCCCTAATTAAACAACTCCTAATTACGCAACGCCTAAAAACAAAGTTGTTCATATATATTCCTTATGAAATGTAAAATTGAGCAATGGGAATTGGTGCTTCAAATTTGATAACACAGGTTTCACAATATCCTGTTTGTTGGGTACTCTAGTAAGATTATTGTTATCTTTTAAAAGGGAATAATGTTTGTTGATTCACCTTATGTCCAGCGGTGCTGAAAGCGGAGCCAAACACGTTTCTTGTGCCGCCCCCGTTACGGTTCTCGTGACCCACTCCCGGCCAGCGGTAGTTTGGTAGGCACGGGTGGTTGACGTTGTTACCGTTAGGGATCTCGTCCTGGTAGGACGGGTACGCCGTCGTAAGTGAGAGTGTAGCTGCGACCAACAAGCTTAAGAGAAAGGGAGGCGGGGGGGGGGTGTGGTGGAAGAAGGAAACGTGTAGTAAACAACGTGTGAGACTTGTTCTGAACCTCAGTTATGTAAACAACATAGATGCGTAGTTAACGGTGATTTTTATAGTAACATTAAAAACATGAGTGTGTGGGGGCCGGAGTCTCATAATGTCACGAATGATGAACCCCATGCAGTGAAATGTATACATTTCTTCTGGTCTGGAGTAAAGGTATCGAGGAAGACGCATATACAGCATTTGATAAGGGAGCCAACATTGACGTCGTAGTACTTGTGGCAAATGTTTAGATTGAAGATTTATAATAGTCATGTTTTGAGTGCCTATATTTTTTTTGTGTAGTTTCTCTTTCCTTAATTATTAGTTTCGCAATGTCTGTCCCTCTATTACTTAGATATTTTAAAAATCCACCAACTTCTTTTTTTCAACTTCTTTTTTTTTCTTCTTATTTAAAAAAAAAATTGTTAAAGACTTAATTTTTTGACGGATTTTTCTAGAGAGTGTCTCCTATGTTGATCTGATCAGTTGAATAATTAATAAAATAATGTAAATCTAAATGACAGGTCAATGTCGGCGAGCAGAGCTGGTAAATACAATACATTAAACAAGCGGACTCAATCCTAGGAGCTGGTGGTCTGGAGTTCAATCCCCACCCAAGACAATCGTCCCAAGCACCCCGGGTGTATGGAACCCGCTATCCTTGTACGGCAACTCATCTAAGAGAAGGCAAACTCTGAATTCAAACCAGGAGCCATAAAGATTATACGAATTGATCGTGGGCCCTCAAATATATACAAAAGATATAATAAATTAACCTTTTTTTTTTAAACTCACGTTGAACAAAAGGAACTAATTTAATAAATCGACGTACCTTATAAATACAAACATGTTTTCTTTCTTTTTTCCCATGGTCCTGAAATCAGAATTCTTTTAAATAAATAAATAAACATCAAGATATTATTCATTACACGCGCTGAGAAATCAAAAGTAGAAATAGTTTTCAATGGTTTATGGGAAATTTAGCTAAGCACTCCTCAAACCGTATCCGAATTATCAATGAGACAATAGTTTAACGGAATGAAATAAGACATCACCGGTACATAAGTTACATAATATTGCGGTCTTGTGTTGAAATTGAGAAATATGACCAGCATAGCTTCGGGGGGGGGGGGGCTGCACCATTTTTAAAATATCAGGCATGAAGGACATAAATCATTTTAAGAATGGAATAAAACAACAACAAAATAAATGAAAAAATGAGTTTGGAAAAAAAAAATATTGAATCCACCGGAAATCTAAAAAGGACCAGAGGCCTGACAGGCGAATTATCACTCAGTACAAACCAACAACTGGGAGATGTTTCTTCTGACGTCCTCAAACACTCTTTTGGCTGAACATATAATATAATAACGCAGCTTATAAACACACATGTGTTGACAGTCTTTTCGCCGACTAAATATCGTTGAGACTATGCTCCCCCCACCAACACATTTGCTACCTTCGCAGACAGACACCCGTTTCTATTATATTACTAACACATGCACACATTAAACAGAAGATACAGCGGGAATGGGGGCTTGTCACATTCTTGATCTATCAACGGCAGCGATTCTTTTTCTCTAATACAGTGTTTCTCAAACCGATGAATAGATGCACACATTTGATTTAAGATTTTCATGCTAAACGACTTCAGAAAAATGATAACCGTGGCAAGAAAATTTATTTGGAGATATGGTTTATCACTGGGTGTACCTTTTTTTTTTTTTTTTTATAGTGTTTTTTAACGAAAAACAACCACAACAAAAACATATGTTAAAATGTGACCTAATGACGCTCGCACTGACAAACGGCTTACCTGACAAGAGCTTGCCGTAATCCAAGTGTGACTCTGTGAAGAGATGGCTGGTCTGTTTTTATAGAGAGTGAGAGGTGAATGTGCTTTTAGTGGACCAAAAAACCACATCATGTGATCGAAGTATCAAATTTTGTTGAAACTCAAAAGGGAAAATTCCCGCAAAATAAAAAAAAATAAATAAGGCGAGGCTGTCCCCATTTCAAATGACGTAATGAGATTCATTTACATTTCGTAGATGTTCAGGCCGAAACAAAAAAGTATGTCATGGCCTTTCTTTGTTATATCTATCTAAATCTTCTTCTTCTTCTATATCTTAAGGGCCCACGATCAATTTATTGATCATTTTGGCTCCTATGCATGTAGATGGGATTTGCAATGTTTCTGTTACTGGTGGTGATGAGGAAATTATGCACTAGGGGTTTGAAGGCTTGAGGCAATAGACACAAATGTGTCTAGTGTTGTCGCCTCAACCGTTCCTTTTGAAAGATTGTTCCAGTCCCTGATAGTCTTGGGCAAGAATGAGCAGCTCCTATACTGGCTTCTCGCTGGTAGGAGCCTGAATTGCCTGTCATGGCCTCGTCGCTGTCTAGGGTAGTATCCGTGACAAAATTCACACAACTCGTATGTCAGTGTGTGTCTGTGTGTGTGTGTGTGTGTGTGTGTTTGGTTTGGGGGGTGGGGTGGTGGCTAGATTTGGGATTTGTATAAAGTGCTTTTACTGGAAGGCATGTTTTGTCGGCGCCTGGCCCCACTGCACGATATTACATTTTATCAAGGATTTTTAATAATCCCAATCAGTGCCCCCACCCCCATAACGGCATAATCCCAATCAGTGCCCCAACCCCCATAACGGCATAATCCCAATCAGTGCCCCCACCCCCATAACGGCATAATCCCAATCAGTGCCCCAACCCCCATAACGGCTCGCACCCGACAAAAAATGTTCACGACTCTGAACTATATAATAATATTTGAATAACCGAAGCTGGTTTTACACCCGGGATTTATTTCACCAACTATTTCAGAAAAAAAAATATTACGCACCAAACGCACCTGCAATATTTTAAAAAAAATATTACGCACCAAACGCACCTGCAATATTTAAAAAAAATAAAAATAATTTCATTTAGAGCATTTATTGTGGATTTGATTTGGATAAATCAGTGTCATTTTATTTCTTTCATCTTACCTTTGAAAACAGGAAAAACTGATTTCGGGTGTTGAGGGTAGGGCTGAAAATTTCTTCTTCTTCTTCTGTATCTTAAGGCCCCACGGTCAATTTATTGATCATTTTAGCTCCTATGCACGTAGAGGGAATTTGCAATGTTTCTGACCCTGGTGTTGACGAGGACATTTCACTATTTTCCAGCGCCATTTTGTGAGGGAATCATGCACTGGGGGTTTGAAGGCTCGAGGCAATAGATACAAATGTGTCTAGTGTTGTCGCCTCAACTGTTCCTCTTGAAAGCTTGTTCCAGTCCCTGATTGTCTTAGGCAGGAATGAGCAGTTCCTATACAGGCTCTTTGCTGGTATGAGCCTGAATTGCCTGTCATGGCCTCGTCGCTGTCTATGGGGGAGAAGGACGAATTTCTGTCTAATACTGGAACAGTGGACCAGCCCATTATTTATCTTGTAAATCATGGCGAGCCTGGATTGTCGTCATCGCTCCTCCAATGGTGACCAGTCTATGTTTCAAGTTTCAAATCGATAGGTTGACGGAACATTTTTCATTTAGCCATGCAAAGATTTTGCCAGCAAGAAACACACGAAAAAAAGTCAAGTAAATATAAAGGATTTATAAATAATAAACAATGACATACGTTTCAAGCACTCTTTGGCATATATAAAGTATTGTGAATCTACAAAATATGTTTTTATTTTTTAAAAATATATAAATCAAAGACAAACGTTGTCCAGTCAGTGGACCGAGTGGCAATTTTTGGAGGGTCCATTATTGTTAAGAAATTCGTTGATTTTGTCCTGATGCGCCGAATGGTGCTCCAGACATCGGCCAAGGGACACCACTACCGTCCAAAGCTTGCTTCCTACGGGTTTTTCTGAAGGGTTGCACCTTTGTACAGAACATTTTTTCTCTTTCGTAGACAATGTCCACAATGTGTATCTTTCTTAGTATTAATTGCTAATATAGATTCGTTTTTGAAGAAAAAAAATTGTTTATAATGAAAATGTCCGCATTTATTCAGTGAAAGAGCCGCAAATTGACGACCGCTGCCCGAAACGGAAACCAAAAAAATGATTACACTCAGTTACAATGCTCGTGTCCAGCCGCAGTGTAGTCCTTCCAGTCGAAAATGTTTTTCAGCCTCTGGCTAAGCCTCAGTGACGGCTTTTCAACTTTAAAAGAACGTTTGTGTGTGGTGTATTTGGTGTGCATGTGTGGCACATGTGGTACGCACATTTAAAGTGGCGGGAAAAGATATGGCAATGGAAGAAAAAAAAAGGGGGGGGGGGGGGGTTTAGCTTAATGATTCCCAAAGCTTCTCGATGTATTCTTTTAATTTTGGAAATGATTGTTAAGTTTTCACCTTAAAATATTTACCATGATACACAGATATTTTGATCCGCCGCTGTAAATAGGTAACTAAATTTTTCACCTGGGTCGTATTTTTAAAAAAAAAATAATTCAACTCCAGTTTAAATAGATTCGTATTTTAATAGGATCATGTATGCGCAATGCAAAATATGTCATGTCTGTGTCAGGCCTGGATTAATGCTAACGAGTGCTCTGGATACCCAACCCTATACGTAACAACTCTCTATGTATTCTTATATGAAACAACTCTCTATGTATTCCTATATGAAACAATTCTCTATGTAGTCCTATATGAAACAACTCTCAATGTATTCCTATATGTAACAACTATCTATGTATTCCTATATGTAACAACTCTCAATGTATTCCTATACGTAACAACTCTCAATGTATTCATATATGTAACAACTATCTATGTATTCCTATATGAAACAATTCTCTATGTAGTCCTATATGAAACAACTCTCAATGTATTCCTATATGTAACAACTATCTATGTATTCCTATATGAAACAATTCTCTATGTAGTCCTATATGAAACAACTCTCAATGTATTCCTATACGTAACAACTCTCAATGTATTCATATATGTAACAACTATCTATGTATTCCTATATGTAACAACTCTCTATGCGTTCATATACGTACCAACTATCTATGTATTCCTATATGAAACAATTCTCTATGTAGTCCTATATGAAACAACTCTCAATGTATTCCTATATGTAACAACTATCTATGTATTCCTATATGAAACAATTCTCTATGTAGTCCTATATGAAACAACTCTCAATGTATTCCTATACGTAACAACTCTCAATGTATTCATATATGTAACAACTATCTATGTATTCCTATATGTAACAACTCTCTATGCGTTCATATACGTACCAACTCTCTATGTATCCCTATATGTAACAACTTTCTATGTAAAAAGCATCTTCTTCTTCTACTTATGCCTTTTTACCCCGTCCACAACAATTTTGCATTCATGATGGTCCTGGGCTTTCCTTTCCAATTGCTTCCAGGTGTATCCCATATTTTGCGTGTCTTTCTAGCTCGCGTCTCCATGTATTCTTTGGCCTTCCTTTCTTTATTCTTCCCCGTGGATTCCATGTTAGAGACAGTCTGGTGATGCTATCTGGGGTTTTTCGGAGAGTATGCCCTATCCACATCCATCTTCTCTTTATGATGTCTTCATCAATGGGCACCCGGTAATTCCTTTCTAGTAGATCTTTGTTAGTGATAGTATTTGGCCATTTGATTTTCAGGATCTTTCTAAGCCATGTGTTTAAAGGTCTGTACTTTCTGCGTAATGCTCACAGTTATTTTCGAAATTTCTGCTCCATATAGCAGAGCTGTTTTGACATTAGTGTTAAGGATTCGGACTTTGGTTTGCAGCTTTAGCTACTTCGACTCCCAAATTTTCTTTAATAGCACAAATGCTGATCTAGCTTTTCCAATTCTGACCCTTACACCCGCCTCGGATCCACCATGTCGATCGTGCCACCTAAGTATGTGAAAGACTCCACTTCTTCCAGTGCCTTTCCTGCCAGAGAGATATGCTGTTGGTTGGCTGCATTTACCTTCATGATCTTGGTCTTGCTCTTGTTTATATTGAGTCCGAGTTGTACTGAAATGGTGGCTACCTCTTTCGTCTTTTCCTGCATTTGTTGCTGGTTGTGGGACAGAAGTGCAATGTCATCTGCAAGGTCTAGGTCATTCAGTTGTTCCCAGGGTGTCCACTGTATCCCGTTCCTCTTTTTTGTCTGTTGATTTTTTTTCTTATTATCCAGTCAGGGGGGGGGGGACAAGAGACATCCTTGTCTCTCTCCAGTTTCAACTTTAAAGTCATATGTGAGTCTACCTTCGTGGACCACCATGCATGTCGTTTCTTCATAAAGGTCTAGGTCATTTATTTGTTCCCAGGGTGTCCACTGTTTCCCGTTCCTCTTTTTTGTCTGTTGATTTTTTTTCTTATTATCCAGGCAGGGGGGGGGGGACAAGAGACATCCTTGTCTCTCTCCAGTTTCAACTTTAAAGTCATATGTGAGTCTACCTTCGTGGACCACCATGCATGTCGTTTCTTCATAAGGACTCTGAATGATCCTGACTATTTTTCCTGGTACTCCATATTGCCGAAGAAGTTTCCACAAAGTTT